GAAGAACAAAGGTCGTTAAAAGAAAAATGGAGGCCATTATGGCCACAGTTGATAAGAATAACTCTCTGTAACCTCAACTTGCCCAGCACAGAGGAGTATTTAGCACACACAGCAACTCAAACTTAAATCTGAAAAATTGAAAATATTTCCATTTTTTCCTGCATATGGATGGAAAAGCGTCAAAGGGTACATGTTAGCAGACTTTTTAAAGGCACCTAAGCATAGATGTAAGAGACCTAAAAAATTCATCAGGATTTGATTCCTCATCTTAAAGGATAGACTTATAGTGGTTTTAAGATACTTAGGACAGTTCTATTTAATTCCTTTCTATTAAGTATACAGAATTTCTGGACCATGCAATATACAGTGATGCCAAATGCCTTCAACAAAAAGAGTGTGCTCATATATTCTGTGTACCGCTGCACTGTCAGACAAGGTCAGGTTCCAGAAGTGAGATACTTGTGTTAGCGGGATATTCCATCTGCCCCAAGGACCCTTTTCAGGAAGGCCATGTAGTCTGTATATAGAGCTCTACAGACTTGTCCTCACATCTTCCAGCTCTGGAGCCAACTTGGTCCTAGACAAGTCAGGTATTTCTACCTAACTCACTCACTCACTCACTTACTCACTCACTCACTCACTCACTCTCTATCTATCTATCTATCTATCTATCTATCTATCTATCTATCTATCTATCTATCTATCTATCTATCTATCTATCTATCTCCTACTCTACTGTAGAAGGGTCCTGAAGCCCTTAAATGACTGAGGCTTTGTTTAAAAGGGTCATAACCTGTTAGTCACCCAGGTGGATGTTGACACACGATTTGTGTCTGCAGTTCATGTCTTGAAATCAAGAGAGAATTTTATTTTAAAATTGAACAAGGAATCATGATCTTCAAAATTCAGTAAAAATAAAACAACATAAACAGGTTACTATCTCATAAATGTATAGTTAAATATAAATGCAATTCTTAGGCCATATGTTTTTGTATATACATGCCAACCCGGTTATATAGGCATTAGACTTGGAGAGCATTTATATTCTGGTTTTGGCTTGCTACACTCAACTATTTGCATGTTTGCTACACATGGGGTTTGGGATAAAAGTGAAAAAGGAACATGAAGGGGTAGATCTGTGGCGAGAGTGGATAAAAAAATATTTCAGTCCCTACCTTCCTCCTCAGTTTGACAGTGAAGAGTGATCAGTTGATAAAGATATTGCAAAACAGAAATAGTTAGCAGTTCTCACTTGAAATCAACTCCAGTGTTTATAGCAATGGCACCCAAATCTGGCTGCATTCACTTGTTTCCTTCCTTACAGTCATTTTTATTTTTTTCCCTGTCTAATATCTTAGCTGGCCCATCATCAGTTTGAACTTGCAGTGGAAAACTCAGAATGGCTGATCTCACTGGCTAAATCTTGCTAGTTCTAACATAACTCAAGATTCTCTATCTCTCCAGGCCAAAATCTGTAATTATTTTCTTACAACTATGTGTGTCTTTCTACAGGTGTTGTACCAAATTTGTACCTTCTCCTCCACATCAGCTCAGCCTGTCCGGTTCTGCCACATGCAGAGCCAAATCTCCTTTGCTCCTTGTTTCTCTCTTTCCTTGACCTTTGCAGCATCTTCCCGTCAGACCTCCTACAACACATCGCATCAGACCACGTTTACACCAAATGAATTGCAGTTGCCAAGCCCTCTATCTGAACATTTGATCAAATCACTCCCCTCTTCACGTCCCTCCGCTTACCGTGTCTTATCTCATGAAGAAATCAAGCTGTCAGTCACTACATTCAAAGAATTTCTTAGCTCTCCCCCCACTACTTACCACCCTTGCTGAATGTCTTCTCCCCCCACATCCTCTCATCTCCAGCAGCATTTCTCCCCTCAGAGGTCTGTGTGTTGGCGTGTCTTCTCTTTGCTGCCCTGTATGTCTTGCTTTTTTGGCAGAGCTGCAATGTCACACCCTTGCTTTTCTATTTATATTAAATTTTCTGAGAAAACAACACATACATCTCTGCCAACAAACTACAACATGCCTTGGTCCAAGCTACAAAGACTTTTCAGAAAGTTCTTAACACACTACTGTTAGTGCAAAGAACAGACTAGAAGGAATAACATAGCTAAAAATGCCATGACATTACAAACTGTGGTTGTAAATTCACCTGTTCTGACACATCAAGCAAATTGCTATTAAGATCAACAGCATTTTTGGGGTGAGATTCACTGTTGCTAGCACAGTGAAGTCCATACGGTTAGCCAGGGTACTATGCTGTGCATGTTTTGGTTTATGTCCTGGCTTCAGCTAGGATAGAGCTAATTTTTTTTTTTTTTTTTTTTTTCCTTCTTAGTAGCTAGAATAGTACTGTGGTTTGAATATGGGATTTGGTATGAGAAGAATACTGATAATGCACTGATGGTTTTAGTTGTTGATAAGAAATCAAGGACTTTTCAATTTCCCATGTCCTGCTCCTGGCCAGCTGGGAGTGAGCATGGCCAGAGCACTGGCCCCAAATGGGCCAATGCAATATTCCGTATCATACAACGCCATGCTCAGTATATAGATGATGGTTGATCGGGAAGCTCGCCCTCGCTTCCAGGATTGTGGTTTCAGGATTCTCTTCTCTGGGATCACTAGCCAGGAATGGGCTGGGCATCAGTCAGTGGGTGGTGAACAATCACATTGTGCATTACTCACTTGTATTTTCTATTATTGTCATCATTATTCTTTTTATTTTATTTCAATTATTAAATTGTTTTTATCTCAATCTACGAGTCTCCTTACCTTTACCCCTCCAACTCTCTATCCCATTCCCCAGGGGGAGGGGAGGGTGAGCGAGCAGCTGCATGGTGTTTAGCTTCCAGCCAGGTTCAAACCACGACAGTTTATTAATTACAAGAAAGGATCTCTGAGCATAATTTAAACACACAAACTCAAATGTGAAGAAAGTTACATGCACACAAAAGTAGCCCTATATTTTAGAGGTGCAAGCACCTAAACAAGGTCTGGAAATATCCAAATAGCTGCTGTTTACACATAGCACAATTTTAGAAAACTCACAGCAAACTCTGCATTTTTTTATATATGTCCACTGCATGAGGCAAAATGTTTTGTAGAAGAATTGGGAAATTTGGCCTGAGTATTGATCCTAGTCTAGAAATAGATATGAAATCCCCCTTGGCAACAGTGATGATTTTTCAGGAGATCACAGTCTTGTGTCATCTTTCTTGTTCAACCACAAGAGTTCCTTGGAACTCAGTCACACTGCCAAGAAACGAAACATAGCTTTGCTAGACTTGTGCATGACAAATGTTTCAATATATGCTGCATCTCGTCTTCAGCAAGACCACCACATAGATATGTATACATATAGTGATCAACCGCACAGTAGCTTGTTTGTCCTTGTTTCTGTTCCATGATACTGCATTGCCTTTAGCAAATTCTCTTACAGATCTTTGCATCAAGTGCTATCTTTAAATTGTAGTTTTATGACAAATGCAGGCTCTTAATTAGCATTGACCAGAATTGGTAAGGAACGTTTGAAGATCCCTGGAACATGCTGCCTAAACAATATAACATAAAACAGCGAGGAAGGGATGTGCCACCTCTTTATTGGGGAGGGATAACCAATACATCCTGTTGAGAAATATGGTTCCCAAATCTGTCTGCAAACTGCCATATAAAATCCAAGTCTTCATTTAAATAGTTTACAGTTCTGATATTTGTTCAGACTTTTTTTCTCATGAACTGAATTTAAAATAACAAAGTGTCTTCTTTGGGGCTTGAAAGTAACTCTAAAAGTATATCAGCAATAGGGAGCTATCTCCTTATACCCTAATGTGACATTGAACTGAAGCCAAAAGTCATCACTGGTAAATGAGTTAGATTGAAATAATTTTTTTAAATACATAATTAATGAAAATACTTACCCTGGAGTTTCCCCACATTCCACTAGACTCCATCTCTCCAATTCTTAGTAGCATCGGCAATACACTTATACATCACTAATAGAAAATAAGCAAAATATTTTAAATAGAAGAGCAGAGAAAAATAAATTGCATTTGTTTTAAAACATAATAATGTTGTTGTACTGAGTGCATTAAGTACATGTTAATGGTTTAAAATTTCTATATTTAGCCTGGTGCAGACTGCCCTGAATGGTGCCCTGAAGAAACCAGTTGCTCACTGATGTTTGTGCTCACTTCACTGCTGATTATACTGGTCTTTATTGCATCCACAGTGGGCATGTTGTGCCTCTGCCTCCTGGAACATCCAGCCACAGGCTCATTAGATTGCACCTGAAGCAGTCAGTAATCAGTAAAGAGTAACCGACGATAATTAATCAGTTATCAGTTATTGTAACCATTTGTTTTCAGTTTAAAAATCTAAGGACTACAAATATTTATCATTCCTCATACAAGTATATCCTGGATATCATTTTCTTGGCTTCCATAGTAGGATCTTTCATGTTATCTGGGAAATTTTCTCAAAATAGGTTGTATGAAATCTCCAAGACAGAAAGTCAACTGTTAAATATGCTAAATGGGAAGACACCATTCCTTTGAAAAAGAAACATGGATGCATGACCTACTTCTAAAAGGACAGGAGAGGCACTCATCCTACACATCCATGTTCAGTATATGCATTTATAACTGTATTTACTAAATAGGTCAGTAGGGACAGATGCTTAATCATGCCACACCTCTTTTTAATTAATCCTTAATCATTGACTCACATCTACTGAATGTCCCTCAAGTGTTATTTTTTCCACAACATTTACCTTAGCGTATATTTCAACACATGCTGTTCGGTTTATGACTTCAGAGAGGATGTGGTTATGGTTTGACAGAAAGGAAGCTTTGCTGTAGATGGGAAGATAAAGCTCAAAGCACCTACGCTGCCTTTTGAACACTTTTTTTTTTTTTTTAAATTAACTGTCTTCCTTCTTGTGTCTCTTTCTTGGACAGGCACTCAGCACATAGGGCAGGCATCCCATGTCCTGGGAGAAGACCATTCTTGGCTCAGCCATGAATGACTGTGTGCTCCTGGAAGAACTGCTGATCAAAAAGTCCCAGCAGAAAAGAAGGACTTCACCCTCCAACTTCAAAGTGCGCTTCTTTGTCTTAACTAAATCCAAATTGGCTTACTATGAACATCGCCATGGGGTACGTCAGCCATTTTCTCTCTCATAATAGAGTAATGGAGGGAAGGATGAAATCTGTTAAATGAAGGGAAGGATGCTAATGGAGGGAGGGATGATCTTTGTTAATTTTTATTAACATTTCAGGTCCTTACTACAGCACCATTCACTGAAAATTGCGGAATGGTTAAATGGGTCATTTAGAATTTCTGGTCAGTAGGCATATGGTGTGCATGGAGGAATAAGACTATCTTGCAATTTTATAGAAAATGATCTAGTTTTGTTGTAGGCATTCAGCACTGACTGTTATAACCAGTGTGTGTAACAGCTGTGTGAGCATGTGCATGGCAGCTCACATGAGTACAGGGGTGACCTGGAGTGGCATATTGCAAAGATCACAAGTGTGCCCTAATTACATTTGTTTACATCTGTGAAAAAATTCATCCATAGATCTTAACTCTCTCATTCTTTTCTTCAGAGCAGCTAGCCAATGGCTAGTAGGAGACCAGTGCTGCATTTTAAAATAAATTCAGCTGCCATGTGTAACATCTTTGTTCTTCAGGGTTAGCTTTAGAAGGGATGTGATGATGACATCCATGCTCAGACTAGGCATTGTTTCCCCAAGACTGCATTTCCCTGATTTGCTAAATATGAAGAAAATTAGAAGTCAGTCTGCATACCCCATTGTGCTAAGTGTTCCAGTGAAGTGAAAATTATTTCCTCCTTCTATTTAGCTGAATGTTTGCTGAGCCTCATTATGGTTGTAAATAATATTGCTTGTTTTCCAACAGTCATTGAATATGGTGTTAATCCATTATGTTTAGGCACTGTTACTGTATGCAGAATGGAATTAGGGATTGTGCTGCCTTGCTGTCCAGCACTGGCAACTTCAGACCGTCTGATCTTGCTCAGCTGCAAGAAATTAAGTTAAAACTGAACCCAATAAGAAAAGTGAAGTATGATGTGCCCTTGCATTTTTTCACAACCTAGTTGAGGTTGGATACCTCAGCTTTAAGGGTTAACAGTCATGTTTACTTGCAAGTTATTTGTCTCAAATATGCCAAACAAAATGTTTTTCTTGCTTTTATTTTATAGTCCATGTTTTTATTACCTCCATATTTACATAGGATAATATTTATTGTTGTGTATTGTGTCTGTATTTGGTTTGAGACTCTCTTTGTCTGCTTTCCGAACTATCTTTCAATTAATATTTTAAATTCCATTATAACTATTCCACTTAATTATTCTGGGTTAAATTTTCAAAAGCATCTAAATGATTCTGCTGTGGGCATTTAAAGAAATATTCACAACTAGTTTTCTTTGGTGCTTTCTGAGTCTTAGTAGACTTGAGATGAATTCAACATACACTTTGTCTAGATACTTTTTCAGGATTGCAATAAGTGTTTGTTGGCATCCTTAGACACTGAAATAGTTTGGAAAATCTGACTCGGTAACTTTCAGTGGGACATAGATTTCATTTGCTATGTGAGTATCTCTGGAAATTTTCTCCCATAGTCTTCCTAAAGGTCAATTAAGCAAGATGAGGGTTTGGTATATTATCTACTTTTATGTTATATATTATGTATTTTAAACATGCACATATTATATGTGTGTAGACACATATATGTAAATGCACATGTAACTTTAAGCCCTTTACACATTTGAGGGATGGTGGGTATATCTGTAATTAGAGGGCTGATTTTCCATGAAATGCTGATTTTTTTCTGACATAAACTGTCAAAATCAGGTTGTTACATGAACAGAAGAACTTCGTATGAAACTGCGAGAAAAGAGTTTGCCATGTGAAATACTCCCAGAACCAATCCTCAGCCTCTTCAGTAATCTTTCAGAAATGAGACCATCCTGATGAGACCTCGGCGTGGTCAGGTCATTGTTGTCTGGAGAGGAAAGCTTGGGGCAGCCCATGCAAGGACCATCTTGTTTTGTGCTGAGAAGGGAGTGAACCCCCAGCAACTTGAGTTCACAGCTAGTGAAGGGAAAATTACAGTACCTGCCCGACACGCAGGCTGTGTCCATCTCCGTGAGTGAACCAGGACCGGGGAGTGTGCACAGATGTTGAAGTCAATTATCTGTAGTGCTCATTCTCTAGTACAGGCCCTGGCACAGGTTTGGCTCTGCTTCACAGGGATTCTCTCAGATAATTTGTGGGGCTGACAGGGGTTAGCACAGGCTGTCACCATTTCTAGCAGGCAGTTTTCATACTGTTCTCCTGCTCTGGAGGCTTAGGGCAGAGTGGTAGGGACATCAATTTCTCTGCCAGCTGGCTGCAGTGTTGGGGAGTATTCTCAGGCATGCGTACTGCACCATATAGATGGGACTAGCAGCTGTCTGAGCTTTTAAAGTATGTATTTTTCAAGACAGATCTCTGTGGATGTTTGCTATAAGAGTTTTCAGTGAGTTTCTTTAAGAACCCTTTACCAACCTGTCCAGTGGCTTACTGTACTCAGAGTTCAATACTGTACAGTACCCACCTCTCTGGTCCCTGGTCAGTCAGTAACAACAGCCTGCGCATAAAGTCAGGTAAAGCAACTAGCAAACTGCTTATCAATTTAAAAAGTCCCACTGATTTCAATGGGGTGGCTTAAAGTAAAGCATACACTTATATGTTAAGCCCAGGTTTACATGTTTTGCCTGTATTTAACAGGGTTTAGCACCCAGTCCTTTTCTCTGCATTTTGACATCACGGCTGTAAAAAGATGTTTAAGAGTTTATTGCAGCAGTCCAAACCAAGGAAATAAACAGGTCAAAGGGATGCAGGGGTAATTCTGGAAATGATACCAAAAGCTGTCAAGACAACCAACATCATAAAGGCAAAGAACTGTAATGTCATTTTCATCGCAACGGCCATAGCTAGACAGAAAGCACTGTTCTCCTCGGGGGCCAGTCACACAATCGCCGTTAATGTTAATGAAAGATATTTACATATCTCATTAGCAGAACTAGTCCCTAATAACTGACAACAATAAGAAGCTGTGTTTTCTGGAATTCATTACGCAGTGCACAATGCAGGGCTGTCTTAACATAAAGCAAAGCCCTGATAACAGGAACATGTATTCAGCCCCCGTCTCTACTGAAATGCATCAGAAGTGCCTTTATTATAGCATGCAAATCAATTCCACGGGCAGAAATTCTTCATTTCCAGGGTCTGATTTTATAGCTACTGTACATATTGAGTAAACGAGCACATGGGAGTAATCATTTTAACTATTTCAATGAGTTTGATCTTCAGCAGAATAACTGATAATGCAGACAATATGTGATACTTTCAGCATCCCAGTATGCTTGCAGTACTGCAAAAGAAGCAGACAAGTGAATCCCTTTGGAGAGGTGTCTAGGACAGAGTTTCAAATGTCCTTATTTAGACCTAGCAAAAACACTTAAACTGATGAGTTACCTGTATCTCATTCGCCTAACGGCTTATGCTGTTTGGTAAATCCTTCGGGTTAGCAGCAGGAGAGTGAAGAGAGGTAATTCAGTATTTCAGACACTAAGTAGAGGTTCTTGAATAGCCTTCAGGCATGTCACATTTCTACCTGGATGTGGACAGCCAGAAATTAGCATCTCTTCCTGTATTTCAAGCTGTCTGTAGTCTAAAAGTGTCACACAGACGTCTGAGGCTGATGCCACACTTAGTGAATAGGCCACTGTCTGCTGGGCTGGTACCACATTAGTGGTACCACTACATAATCTCTGCATCAGAGCTCCTCATCTTGGCATGGCTCAGTCCTGTGGAGAGTGCTTGGGTCTGTCTCTATCAACTACGGAGAAGTGCTCCATGTCCCTACGCCACAGTTTTCCCTCTTCAGAAATAAGCGTCTTGCCCTACACAGGCTTTCTGAGAAGTATTTCAGGGCTAGGAAACTGGCATCTAACACCTATGGGGTTCAAGCACATAAATATTTTTAAATTTTGTATTTTCATGCAATGGGCTATTACTAGTCCAGCTGTTAAAGGCAGCAATGAAAGGCACACACAGAAAAGGACCGAGTTCCCTTTTCATTTACATGAGCACTATTCTTCCTACACTGGTCAGATGCTCAGGAGGTCACATAGTATGAGCCAGCTTTGTCCTGGGCTCTTTCATTCAGATCTTTGATATTCAGATACAAAGATGGCACTTTAGTGTGTCTTGAAATTTGCTTTCAGTCTCTTGTTCCAGGAGAACAAAGGAATAAACTTAGCTGAAAAGCCTTTTATCAGCATCCTAAAAATGCTTCGGCTGCTTCTGTTGCATTATATACATGTTGGGTTACTTGAAACAGTCCAACTACTCACAGTAACAAAAGCCGCGCTTTGTTCCTAGGTCCAGAAGTCCATTTTACCTTGAATATTCTACACAGAATCTGACGTGTTCATCCTGCCTTGGAAAGACTTGGTTTTTTCCCCAAGACTCTAATGTAAACAGACTAAGACTACCTTAACTATCATGAAGCTATAATCCTCACCTGAAGTGAATTTAATCATGGTTTTAAAGACTACCTTCCAAATAAATACATATCTGAGTAGATACATCATTCTTCATAACTTGTCATGTATTTATTAACAAGTTCTGTTTGCTTGCCAGAATTTGCATACCATCTGTCTTCTGATGCATATCTCCAACTATTTTATTGATATTGGTAAAGAAGTCAGGCTTGGCATCTGTCTACATCACACCTGTTTCAATTAATTTTTATGTAGTAAAATCAATACAACTTTAAATAAGATGGAGACAAGATAGAAACCTATGCCTAATGCTAAATGAATCCTTTAGTACACCTCTGTAAATTTTAAATGGATTTTTTAATAATCCAAATTTTATTATTGGAGTTGAGGGGGGATTAAGTTCATATTTGCCACAATGGGCTTCATTTCTATCGTGAAATCACAGAATCATAGCAATACTGCTTGGAAGGCACTTCTTAAATTCATTTAGTTGGACTTTGCACACAGGGCCGGCATTAGATCAACACTCGCAGCAGGACTATCACCAACACTACAACAAATTGGCTGTAGCATTGACTA